TGTGTGAGTGTGTGTGTGATACAGGATTTGATTTGTGGACTGACCGCTGCGCTGGACTCCAAACTCTTTCCCACTGAGGATGTGGTGGAGGAGATTCTTCAGTTCTGATGGACTGAGACTCATCAGGCTGTCTGTAGCTTCCTCTCCTACACACACACACACAGAAAGTCAGAATAATAATTAATACGATAAAATAATTTGACCACAAAAGTACAAATGACATGTCTGTAATTGCATTTTAGACTAATTTTCAATCTGTAACACTTAATCAAATAATCGTTTCTTTTCAGCAAAGTTGCAAATTTTCTGGTTTTCATCCTCTATTAATGCAGTAAACTGAATATCTTTTTGGTTTTAGACAGTTGGTCAAACAAAACATTGAAAAAAATTGGTTTGTGAACTTGTGACGGGAGATTTTTCACTGTATTTTACAGACAAAACTGCAGATCTGTTTTAAAATATCACTCGTCTTCCTCTCTTTCCTGCCGTACCTGAGCAGTTGAGTGAATGGGCGAGCTCGGTGGCCATGACCTGGATGATGAGACCGATACGGAGCCTGAACATCTCGCTGAAGAGGCTGGGCTGAGTCCTTATGCTCATAGCCAGGTACACCATGATCTCCTGGAGGAGGGAGGAGGGATTAAAGAGGAGGACAAGAGGACACATTCACAGGTGTCAGTGGAGGACGATGTGGGCTCACCTGAGTCAGTATGGCCACGCTGATGTTGCTGTCGCTGGCCTCGTCGATGACGGCGGCCAGCTGGTCTGGAGGTATGGGAGCGGTGATGGTTTTCTCTCTTGGCTCGGGAGGCAGACCCACCGTCAGGTGCTTCTGGTGCGCCAGCAGATCGGAGCAGGCCTGCGAACAGATAGCAACCAATCAGTAAAACGAGTGCTGGGAAATATGAGATATGGCGAAATGTGAAGGATGATGATGAAATACAGATATAGACATAAATAGAGCCTTTTCTCCCATGTTTTTGTGTCAAAGTGACTAAAAAAGTGGTTGTTTTTTTTTAAATTGGTCGAGTATTCAGCGATGTCTGTGGGGTAAAATGGCTGTTTTTTTTCAATGAAGTCAATGGTGGCTTTGAACAGAGATATAGAGATATATCATTTCTAGTTTTAAAAAAAATTTCATTTATTTGAATACAATTGCACCAGAGTTAGCTAATAGCTAATTTGCATCTGTTGTCCCTGGGCAGGTAAACAAAACAACAACCACAGAACTGTAAATATACACGACATAAAACAGCACAATACATAAAAGTCCATCGAGTGTGAGATAATAAATGACGTCCGTAATGTTGTCAGACACTAATGTTAACAATCTGAGCCTAGAAGAGGCAGAAACAAACCTTTTTAGTGGACGTTCATTGATTTCACATTGCAGCTCGTTCTGTTGCTGCCGGCTGCAGCGCTCTCACTCAATAATGGACCAATTTCAGAAAACGTTGTCCCCATTAGTCACAAAACGTTGACCTTAAAGGAAAACCTCAACCCTATTTTCCAGGAACAATTTATTATTTTAATACTGCTAAGTTTTAACCATATTTTACAGAAATCCATTCAACTTCGAAGAAAACAACCTCCTTCGTGGCAGAGAAAAAAAAACCTGTTTTATTTATAACCGTGTGCGTCGTACCGAGTCGAGCTCCTCCACCTTCTTCTTCAGCATGCCGGAGATCATCCTGATGAGGCTCCAGTGTTTGAGTTCACCCGCCTTCTCGTAAAGGTCGGACAGCAGAGATCTCACCGTGGAGCCTTTACCGTGCAGATGAGTGTCCCAGTCCATCCCCCTGCAGGGAGATTTTATTTCACAGTTTAACAGCATCTTTTCAACTCTGTGTGGAGGTTTGACCGCTTCTCTAAAATGATCTTTTGGTGCAATACTATTCATTTATTAACATTTGTTGTTTTCATATTCTATTTTAACTCATTTGAATGCCATTTTAACTTACTGGTGGCGTCACAAGCCATTCCCATGTAAAAAATGTCTACAAAAACAAACTATTTTTTAAAGACAAGGCATCAGTTCATTTAGGAAAAGTAACGGATTGTCATCTTTTTGGCTTTCTCTTCTTCAAACTCTACAAGCTTCCGTCTTAAAACCACAGATTTTGTTGTTGTGTTCGCTCCACATGAGACACAATTCTTGATTAAAACCTAAATTACAAGAAAAACAAAGAGTAAAAGTTCTAGTTCTAGGTAGTCGAAGTGTATAAAACTGTGTATCTCACTTGTCTTTGAAGAGGATGTAGAGAATATCGGCCTGGTCCTGGAGACACTGAGTGTCTTTCAGCAGCTGGGCCAAAGCGCTGTAGTCGATGGCGCCGCTGGCATCTCTGGGGATGCTGCTCTCCATTGTGACCGACACCTCCGGACCCTGGAGGACACAGGGGGAGGGGGGAAAGTGAAAGTTAAAGCTGGAAGGGCTGAAAGGTAAAAAGGTTTATAGTCTGAACTACATGAAGGTTTAAAGTATGTGAAAACACACCTGAGCTGCTTGCGGCGCAGCGGGCTCTGGGAGGTTCAAATTGAGGGACGGCTGAGTGGAGCGAAACAGTTTACTGGGCAGGTACATGTTGACATCTGCAAGAGAAGTCTGGTGTTACTGAGTGTTAATGTCTTCAGAAGGAACCTAACCCGCCGTTTCACTCTTAACATCAAGACATTGGTGTCTGGGATGTCTTATTTTGTCGTGACTCACTGTGTATGTCGAGGTCATGAGCCTTGTTCATGAGAGACACCATATCCTTGGTTTTGGTGGCCGCGGCCTTGAACCTCCCCAGACCTCCGACCTGCCGTTTGGGCTTCTTGGGGGCAGAGTGAGCCAACAGGTGGTCCAGGTACTGGGCGAGGTCGTCGGCCTCTGGAGAGAAGGACAAAAGAGAGAGAGAGAGAAAGAGGACAAAGAAGGATGGAGATAGAGAATCAATAAGAGTCACAGAGAGCGGGAAACAAAAAGGTTTATCAAGTTTAAGACACCAATAGATTCAACTCTTTTTTATTTAGTGTACACATAGCTTATTAAAAAGTCAAAAAACATCTCAACTAAAACATCTAAATTGTCTAAATTTGATATTTAATGGTGTCTTAACATCAATAAATTCATGTTTTTAAAAGGTTTGTTCATCAAAATCTCCTACAAACACATTGTTCCATACTCACCTAACGGTATCTCTCCATGCATGTATCTTAGGAGCTACATTACACAGAAGTTAAAACACTGTTAAAACTGTTTTAAAGTCATGCTGCTGTTAAGTTCTCATCCATCATCAGTGTTTTAGTGGCGGATATTTGAAAAAACCACCATTAACAGTGAAAAAAGAAACATTATCTGCATGGTTAGATACACCGGGTTTGAGATTTTAGGTGAACTGACCCTTTAAAACAGTGACGATTATGACGTGCTTCATCGTTCATGTGACACAAACACATTCGCAGGCAGCAGCCATTTTAAAAACATGCACGTGTATTAAATTAAAGCCAAACATTCGCTGGATGCAAGCATCAAAACCAGTTACCCAAAACATACGTGATTGTGAAGGTTTTTATTATTATTTTATTATTAGAAACAATCTGTAAATTAGAAATTAAAGCAGGGTTTCTCAACCTTCTCGAGCCACGACCCCTGCGATTGACCCTTCCTAAGCCCCGCCCCCTTTTTGCTCCGTGCTCCAATAACAGTTGAGCACCCTTCGGTCGACTTTCTCCGCTTCCTGTATGTAGAAACGCTATGTGCGGCGCTCGTCTTACAAATACAACCACATTTTAAAGATGGTTAAAAGATAAAAGGGAAACCAAATTTGGAGCCTTCGCTAGCTAGTTAGATCTGAACACATGCAGCTCTTCTTCGACCTAAATTAAAATAAATTATATTTATTAAGGAGGTATTTGACGAACAAAACAGCATTTGTGACCATTTTCATAACAATTAATTAAGAATATAACTGGGAAGATTGATACTGAAAGCGATAATTAGTTGCAGCTTTGCTCACAATTAAAGTTACATTTGAAAATAAGCATTAGAGCGTTAATCGCTCATCTGATCAGAGCTTGTTAATTATTTCAGATGAATTAACACTCAGAAAACCAAATTTCAAGGTTGTTAATATCGTCACCTTTCCACATCTTTCGTATTCGTATCCGTAGAGTTTTGCCAACCTGCGACTACGTGATGTGACTTTATAGTCTGTGTGTCGCTTTTATCTTTTAACCATCTTCAAAACCTAGTAGTGTGCTCAACGTAGACGAGGCTAGCACATAAATAAATACAGGAAAAGGAGAAAGTATAGCGACTGTTATTGGAGAGCAGCGCAAAAAGGGGGCGGGGCTTAAGAAGAGCAAAACCTTCCAACAGCCAACCGGAGATCAGTACAGAGTGGATGCGGATGGGGGGAAAAGATCAGTGATGATGTGACAGCAGGATAAAGCGGGAAGTGGTGATTAATAAGAATCAGGTTACTTGGTTTCAGGTCAACGGTCAAACCAAAGGTGGAAAACAAATCAAGCGCCACCTGCTGGTGATAAACTCCTCGTATAAACAGTTTTCTATCTCTGGAGTCACCATTCCTCCCCCATCCATCCATCCAACACTCTGCGCTTTCTTTTTTTCGTCTTACCATCATCACAACGTAACTCATGCACGTATCCATCGCCGTCACGCTCATCATCACCATACTCTTCGTCGTGGCGGCTCATGCTGCCAGAAGCCTTACCGTCCAGGAAGCTCAGGTGAGCGAAACAGGAAGTGGTCAAGAACTCCGACAGCTTTCCCGTCTGGATCCTGGAGAGGGGAAAATACGTTATGTATACTTTTAGCGTGACAACAAAACCTTTAAGTCTTATCTGACAAAAAAAAGTGAAGTTTGTCGTTAAAAGAAAAACAACAATAAAAGTGCCAAAGAGACGAATAAAAACCCTTTAAACTGAAGCTAAATAAAAAGACAAAAACCTTTATAATGTTAATTTCTTGGCACTGAAACAGAGCAAATGTCAATAATGCTACACAAACTGAGGCTGACAGTATTTTAACAAGTCGTTAAATTCCCAGAAGTCCTCGGTATTCCCGGTAAAATTCACCTCGCTCCTCCGTAATATCCGTCCTGCAGCTTCTTCAGTGTGGCCACGACTGCAGGGTCCAGGTTTGTGTGGTTTTCAGCTGAAACAACAACAAAATGAGGAATAATTGCACTAAAAACTCAGCTTTTTATCTTAAACGACTGAATTTAAGTCGTTTTTAAGCCGTTTTTTTATGTTGAGATCACTTTAAAGATACGTGGTTACATGTTTGTACTTACTCAACATCGATTGTGAAATGGGAAACGTGACGGTGGGTCGTCCGGTCATCCTCCACCTAGACGAGAGGTAGGCGATTTCTGTCCTCAGCATCTCAACGATCATTTTGTTGTCCAACGCCAAGTAGAACTGCTGGTGGTCGATGAACTGGACGGTTTAAATGGGGAGAAACGGATGGATTATGGGTAAATTTTACTCTATTTTCACTCATTTTCACCAGGATGATGTCACACGATACTGTGTTATTGTAGCGGCTGTGATTCTCACACGATTTGCTTTTGAAAACAAAGACGTGATGATATTCACTGCTGTGTTATCCCACTAACCTGAGGTGTGAAAGAGAATATGGTGTTTCTGATGATGTAGAATTTGGAGGTTCCCAGGACTCCTATTCTCCTGTAGGGTCGTCCCGTCAGACCCAGCCTCGGGTTACGACCTGCAGAAAGAGCAGGAAAAGTGAGTAAAAGGCCCGGAGAGGAAAAGCATTTGTGTAGATGTTAAAACTTTTTAACCTTAGAAAGTCAGATTTAATTAAAAAGAGAAGAAAAAAGGAATCAAAATCCTTAAAACTACACGTCTGTTATAAATTTAGCTCCAACAGCTGCTGGTCAATCTCAGGAGGTCGGACCTGTCAGATAAAGATAAAGGCTGCAGCAGCACAAGATAAAATACATAAATAGAGGTTAAATATGTGTGTTGTTGTTCCTCCTCCTTAAGATCACTAATAAACTTGTGATTTTGAGAACGAGTCAAATTTAAATTGGAGAGTTCTTCTCCTGTGAGATCAGTCAAGAGAAATGATTAACCTCTAGACCACCAGGGCACCGCTGACATCTGACATATTGATTTACTTACAGAGTCAAAGACTACACTATCTGTATTTTTAATCTTTATTCTTCATTTTTTTTATCCTGAATCTTCTTCCTGGCAGATATGAGCTTCCATTTAAACATTACAAACTCATAATGTCCAGTTAAAACCCACAAAACTTTATTTTAGATTCTGTGATCATTCAATTTTGATTTAAATATCAAAACTTATTTTTTCATAATTTTGACTCACTATGAGTGAGTTTTAGTTTTTATCATCAGCTATTCTTATTTTGGCATAAATGGGCTTCTGTATATTTAAGAGGTTAAAGAAACACTTTTAATAACTACAATCATCACAGAATTCACGCTGTATGGATTAAATTATGAATTATATTATAAAGTATTAAATGTTTTTATCAGATTCAATATAAAAGATGACAGAATGATCTTTTCTAAATTATAAAACTGGTGATAAAACCTATTATAATTATTTGTATGTATCTTTGAGAGGGACTTGTCAACACTTATTGGCACATATGAAGCATTGTACTATCTGAATAAAGCATAAACAAACATGATAACTTGCTGTCACCAGTCAAACTCTAAGAAAACGTCCACAGAGGTCGTACCAAGTCGGGCGTAGATGTGGCTGAGGACTCTGGACGGCTGCACGTGGATGGGATGGATGTCCGCAACGGTCTCCACGTCGATGCCGTTCTTCAACAGCAGCTCTTTGATCTCCTCGGTCTCTGCTAGAACTGACACTACAAGAGGAAAGAGAGCGCATTATAAACTACTGCCACTGTAGTTTCCAATGTAACATCCATCGATACTCACCCTGTACAACCACATCGGGTTTGGGGATTGTGGAGAAACGTCGGTTAAGGGGGTCGATCTCTCCCGGGGCGAGAAATCCCTGAAAATTGGGACACAGGTTGCAAAGTCAGAGCCCCAAAATCCCCAAAATAATTTAGTTTTCTGGAGAAGAAAGTGAGATCAGATTAAGAAACAGACAGTGGAGCAAAAGTAATAAGAATACATAAATCAAATGCTACAAAAATATTAGTACGATATATATTAAAAAAGTTATTAAAAGTACAAAATAACTATAATTAAAGTTTATAAAATGGCACACAAACTACAAGTACTTCTTCTTTAACTTACCCTCTTTTTATTCAAATACTCTTACTAGTAGCTTAAAAATCTTCTGGTATCGTCTCCGCATTTATTCTTGAAAATAATTAAATGTGTTAATTAATTAATATACTGAAGGATTATTTAGTGTTAGTGTTTGCGACGGCTCACCTCGGACAAAAGGTTTCCCAGGATGTAGAGAGACTGTCCCCATTTCAGAGGACATTTCCCCATCGGGATCCTCTCCACAGAGTGAGGGTTCATGTACTCCTCCTCCACCTGTTGTTATATACAAACAAACAAACATCATTAAAGCTTTAAAACATGAAAGATATTCATAACACACTGCAGAAATAATAAAGATATAAATATCACTAAACACAAGTATGGAAGAAGAAATAATTCTGGTGATCAATTTTGATCAATTTTTGATTTAATTACACTTATGATGGATTATTATGACATCCGATACAGCGTTTTTTCAACAAAAACAAACAAAAAAAGTTTTTTTATAGGATAATTTTTCCAAATTTCTTAATCTAATTATTTTTGTAATACTCATTTTGGCCACAAGAGGCTCAAGTGCACCTCTACCCATTGCTCTATATAGGACTATAAACATTATGTTCTCTTCCAAGTGAGTTTTAATTTCTCTTAGCTGCAATTAAAATACATTTTTAGCCAAAAGAAAGACGTGGAAGTAATGTCACATAACAGCCTCTTGTGGCTGAAATGAGTATTACAACAACAAATACGATGAAAAATAATCCTGACCTAAAAGAAACTACGTTTCACAGATTAAAAAAAACTAATAAAGTAACTAAAAAAAGATTGTTCTGGCATATTTCAGCTGTTCTTAAGTCATAAACACAAGAAAGAAACAATTTAAAAATGGATTTTCCGTACAAAAGACACTGGAAACAACACTGATTGATCTCAGAGAGGGCAGCAGCTCGTAGCTAACACTACACAAACCATTAACAGTCTCTTATAAAAGAGTCACAGAAGCGTTTTACCTTATCTGGAGGGACGCTGTAGAGCTCCGGCACCAGTCGAATCCCGTCTTTCTGTTTGATCAGGATGCCCTCCAGAGCCTCCTGGTACTCCTGCACCTGAATTAACAGAGTTTTACATCCAAACATTGACCTCGAGAATGCAAATATATGCTTGGAAGCTAAAATACTGATATAAATTACCTGTTCGGGGCTGTTGATGAAGATGCCGTCCAGTATGAGGTAGGTCCAGAACAGCGGCCACTCACACTCGATGTTTTCAAACAGCTTCAGCTCCGCGGACTCGTAATAAAGACGGTTTGGATCCTGGAAGAAGAAGACGAAGAGACGTAAATCCTTCTTGTCTCAGATTACATCAACGCGTGCGAGGGCGGAATATAATAATATGCATGTGATGTTGTATTGATCCCTGCAGGAACATTTCTTCTCTATGAGAAGGTCAGATGTTACTTTATCTACAAATCCACATATCTGAAACTGATTGGACTTCATTTAAAAGCTGACCTGCTGCACAAATACTCACTTACAAAAGCTCAGACAGATTATTATGCAAGTTATTCTCGGTCCTTTAAGACTTTAAGACTATTTCCTTCACAATGTTGCACTCAAACACACACACTGATAACTGGAAGCTTCCCAGTATAACCACATGCTCCCTGTTGGTCACTCAGTAGCTCTACATGGTGATGACACACCAAAACAACAGTTGATGAATTAAAGTGTTTTAATTTGTGTAAATTAACAACTTCAGTAGAAATTCACAAAAAGTTAATTAAATTAATTAATATGTACATCTTGTACGATGTCACTCAACTGAACTGTCGTCTTTTTATACTTTATTTGCTTTCTCTGCTTTCTTAAATCGGACATGATGCAAGTTTTCCTTTTTTGGGGGGGATTTATTTTCTAAAAACCCTCAAATGTCAGACACTTTATGTCTGTTTCTGTTTTTATAAACAGTTGGTGGACTGTAAAAACACCACAGACAACAATAGAAATAAGTGCTGGTTAAAAGCAGAAGAGCTGATGAGAATCAGAGCAGAAAGGAACTCTAAAGACGTCTATAAAATAAACACAGTTTCTATCCAAACAACGCTGAACGGCAGCTCCTTAAATTCATAACAAGAAGTGGAGGGAAAAAAAGTACTGAAAGAAGAGTTTAAACTTTAAAACAAGAGTCACAATTGTTGTGGTTTTGCATCTGAACACTATGGACCTCCTTAAAGTACATAAACAACAATCTATTCAGCATTTCCTCCTTTTGATGAACAACATGCAATCTGATGGAGTAACATTTTCTTTGTCCACTACTTATCTAAACAAAGTGAGATTAAAAGGATCATCTGACCTCTTTTGGGGTTTTGTGTCCGTCTCTGAGGAACCTGCAGCAGCCGTATCGACCCTGAACGGACACAGAGAGGAAAGTCAGCGAGGACACATTCAAACATTAAACATTCAACGGCGCAGCCTCTTCCGTAAAAGGCTAACTTTATATGGCTTCATACTGTCTTTATGTAATGTATTCATCATTTGTTTCCTATGAATATATTCTTTCCTTATAAAGCTCTTTTTATATTCTGAAATCGTGATGGGAATTTTCTGACATTTAAAAGATTAATCAACAACATCTTTATCCTATATCAGTGAAAATAGGCCTCTGTCTCAGCATTTGGTTCACTTCTGTGGAGAAAAGTGAATGTAAAGTACAAGTAAACACTGAATTTGTCAAGAAAAGAAGCCTATTAAGTCTGTATGTTTGTTACATGATTAAAATAAACAGATAATTGTATAAAAAGTTCCCTAAATAAGAAATAATCTGCTCAAAATTCATCCAAATCTCTAATTTTACACAAACTTCTTGTAGTTACTGGGTTTAATATTTGGGTTTATCGTACAGTTTTGAATATAAAATGAAATATCCATAAAATATATGTCATTAAACGATAGAAAAGGGCTCCCTTAAGAAAAAAAGGTTTGGGAACCACTGTACTTTTCTGCACCTGCAGTTTGGAAATGATCTCCTCCTTGGTCATGTTGACGATGCTCATGTCCTCCACAGCGAAGGCCGGGTACGAGATGATAGCCAGGACTCCGGCGTCCACCTCTTTGGACATGGACGCTCTGGGTAACATGGACGTCAGGATGGACTGACGCAGGAGGAAGAAAGAGACGAATGAGAGATGGATACAGTCGACATTCAGCAACCAAAAATAAGAGTTTATATGACGTTTAATGTATGTGTCTACCTGGCAGTGCTGTATGTCATCAGCCAAGGCGTGGACCACAGATCCTGGTCCTCCTTTTGCCCCAAACAGGTTGAGGTCATCCAGAGCCTCCAGAGCTGCCTGGAGGACAGACAGCAGTCATGTGACCCTCGTTAAAAACCAGATACAACCGTTTACATGCAGTAAACATACGGTAGATTATAATACGGTATATAGTTTACTGTAGTACGCAGATTAAAAGTACTGAGGATCGTATTGTTCCCAGATTTTTACCAAAAAATACAAGCTGTATTTCTCCTGGGATTATGTTTTTATGATATTAACTGGTTTATATTATATAGGTGATTTCAAAATGAATATATAAATAGATTGCATGTGTTAAATAGAGCCTAACTGACATTAATAATTGGCTACATAAACAAGTTTTCCTTTCAAACAAGGATCCTGGAATAAGTTACTTTAATTTCCAGTTAAATTTACTGTTAAAATTCTGCTTACATCACTGAGAGTAAATACAAAAAACCCCCCAAATATATAGAAAATAAATCAAATAGTCACAGAAAACCTATAAAACATGTATTTACTGCAGATGTTATCTGTCATTAATATATATATTTATATATAATAATCCAATAACGTACAATAATCTTGGTCAGGCTCTAGAATCAAGTATAATTATAGTACAATAGATATAATACACAACATTATATGTGTGTGTATTGTGTATATACACAGTAGCAGTACATCACATTAGTGTACACGTTACAATCAGTTCCTGCTGTTTTGCTTCTATAAATACTAATAACTGTAATTAATGAAGCAGGGAACGTCCTGCA